CTTTCCTTCCTTCCTTCCTTCCTTCCTTCCTTCCTTCCTTCCTTCCTTCCCCACCCACCTCTCTCTCCTCCTTTCCTCTTGCAACATCCCCTGGTCTTGCTGATCTACTTAGCTGCACCTCTCTTTGCTCCCACCATCCACCCCATCTTCCAGCATCTTCAGCAAAATGGTAAATGCTTGGTTCTTTTTTAAAATATATTTTTATTGATTTCAGAGAAGAAGGGAGAGGGAAAGAGAGATAGAACATCAATGATGAGAAAGAATCATGGATTGGCTGCCTCCTGCACGCCTCACACTGGGGATCAAGCCCAAAACCTGGGCATGTGCCCTGATCAGGAATCGAGCCATGATCTCCTGGTTCATAGGCCAACGCTCAACCACTGAGCCACACTGGCTGGGAAAATGCTTGGTTCTTAAAGGCTTTCCCTACAGGAAAAAAAGGTAGTGAGAAAGAAGGAGAGAGGGGGAGAGAGGAGAGAGAGGAGAGAGGAGAGAGAGGTGACGTGGTGGTGTTTTATAGGAATCTCTGGGGCTATGTTAGTGCTATCCAAGTCTGAGGCTGGAGAGAGGGAATGGCCCTAGCCAGTTTGGCTCAGTGGATAGAGCGTTGGCCAGCAGACCAAAGGGTCCCGGGTTCTATTGCGGACAAAGGCATGTACCTTGTTTGCAGGCTCCTCCCTGGCCCGGGGCCTGGTCAGGGCTCGTGCAAGAGGCAACCAATGTGTTTCTCTCACATCGATGTTTTTCTCTGTCTTTGCCTCTCTCTTCCATGCACTCAAAAAGATCAATGGAAAAATATCCTTGGGCAAAGATTAACAACCACAGCAAAAAACTGAGAGAGGGATGGAGAGAGAGAGGGAGGAAGGAAGGAAGGGAGGGAGGGAGGGAGGAAGGAAGGATTTGACTTGTAGAAGAGGAGTCTCCTCTCCTATATTTTGTTTGCTTGGCACCTCTTTGGCTCCCCTCCCCCCTTACTTGTGCTCCCCATCCCTCTCTCTCCTCCCACTCCCTCCTCCCCAACCCCCCTCCCTCCCTAGTGACCAGGCTCCTTCTTACCCAGTCTCCTTTATTGTAGGACACAAAGAGGAAGGTGATCATCATGTAGGCGCACTTCAATATGTTCCATTTGCTCCTTTTCCTGAATGGTTTCTTGGTGGGCATGGTCGTTGGGGGAAGCTTAGCTGGGAGGAGAGGATGACAATGACTTACCCGGAAGGCGTGCCCTCCCCGTCTAGAAATTCCTGCTCTTTCTGAATCTACCTTCTAAGGCGTTTATGGTTGATGTATAGCCTAATCCCATTGTACTTGGAGAGATACCTTAAATGGCTTCAATCTGAAATTGATTGAAGCTCTAGCTTTATGAACCGACATATACCCAACCTTGGTAAGAAAAAAAATCCCAACCTATGTATGTGTCCTGATGGGAATCAAACCCGAAACCTTTTGGTGTACGGCACTCCAACCAACTGAACCACCTGGCCAGAGCGCCTAGAAGTGATTTATAAAATGTACATTCCTCCTTGTGGTTCTGAGAACTTTCAAAATCTGTTTGTTTGGTGGTGATTTTTATCCACATGCAAAATTCTTAGCCACTAACTCTTCAGAGATTACTTCAGCTTTATTTTCTCTTGATTCTCCTGAAATTCTAACGTTACATTCATCACTACCGTTCACTATCATATGTCTTTTGCGCTCTTTTCTGTATTTTCTATACTTTATCTATTGTGCTTTATTTGAACGATCTCTCCTGTTTCCTAGCTCAATAATAATCTATTTTTAAAGAATTAATTGGCTTTACTCGATGATTCATGAATCTGGCAGCATCCCCAATAATTATCCTTTTTGATGTTAAGGCCAACTACTGAAATCTTGGTTTCAGTTATATGCTTTCAAATCTAGAATTTCTATTTGATTATCTTTTTAAACAAATGATAACTCTTTGGTGACATTATTTATCTATTTTTGTGAACTTAATAATCCTAGCTATTGCCGGGATGGTGTGGCTCAGTGGTTGAGCATTGACCTATAAACCAGGAGGTCACGGTTCAATTCCTGGTCAGGGCACATGCCAAGGTTGCAGGCTCAATCCTCAGTAGGTCCATGATTCCTCATCGCTGATGTTTCTATCTCTCTATGCCTCTCCTCTCTGATATCAATAAAAATATATTTTAAAATAATAATAATAAAAAATAATAATAATCCTAGCTATTTTTAAGTGTTTCTCTCTAATATCTGGGTCACCTAGAAGCTTGCTTATATTCTCTGATGTCCTTGCTCTTGGTTTTCAGCCATACAGTCCTGTCACTCAGGATTTGCCTGGTAATTTCCAAGGAGGGGACAAGGTTCAATGACCAACAGAAGAAGGGACTGGGAAACACAAAAATGTTTCCCATTCACAGCTTAGGATGTGGGGTCACCTTGATACTAGTGAGCAGTCAGAAGGGGGTAGGCTTTGGCTGCCCTTGAAAAGCACTTCCCAGGAACTGGAGCCCCAACCTTAGTTACCTGAGATCTTCTCAAGGCTTATGGTAACCCAGCCTGAAGGAGCTCACTGTTCTCCAGATTCCATACACTCACCTTCTTCCTTGCAGTCACTTGTTTCTTCTAAAAATGGAGCAAGAGGAGAAGGAGGAGGAGGAAGAAGAAAAGAGAGGAGGAGGAAGAGGAAGAGGAGGAGGAGGAGGTGATTAGCATGGCTGTGAGGGAGACGCCAGCTGCCTCTCTGAAGCTGGGACACTATAGAGCCATTTTTTAAGCAGTGGAGTCCAGCTGGCAGAGATGCCAGCTGGAGCTGAAGAAGAAGAAGAAGAAGAAGAAGAAGAAGAAGAAGAAGGAGGAGGAGGAGGAGAAGGAGAAATAGGAGGTGGTGGTGGAAGTGGGAGAAGAAAGAAGAGGAGGAGGTGGGGGAGGACAAAGAAAGAGGAGGAGAAAGAAGAGGAAGAAGGAGGAGCAGGAGAAGGATAAAGAGGGAGGGAGGTAAGGAGGGATAGGGAAAGGGGTGAGGAGGAGAGAAAGCAAAAGAAACCATCAATGAATTATGAAATGAATGGAGACCAAACTATAAACAACACTTCTGGGTGCTTCACATGAGAAGGGAATGCCATGAGCCTCCTTGCTGTCCCCTGATCTCAGTACTCTCCTGCCTCATGGCCTTTGCACATGCTGTTCCCTCTGCCTGGAACACGCTTAGCCCAGTCATACACATGACTGGCGCCCTCATCTCCTTCAAGGATTTCCTGAAATGCCACTTGCCCTGATCACCCTTTAAAAAAGTATCAACCTCTCCTACAATGCATTCCCCTCTGCCTTCCCCTATTAACTTCATAGAACTTTTCAGTGTCCAACAGACTTAACCTCCTTCCTTATGTTTTTCGTTCTCCTCTCATTAGTTCCATCTGGGCATATATTTTTGTCTGTTCTATTCCCTGCTATATCTCAATACCTAGAATGGGACTTAGGGTAGCTAATATCTATTAGTATTTGTTGTCAGATGAAGGAAAAGTGTTAAACATGCATGATGCTAATGATAATGATGATGACAGAGTATAAAGGCTCTTCCAACATTTTTTTAAAAAAAGCTAGTATCTCTCTACTGTGTATGGGACCAAAAACCAGTAAAAGAGCAGTCACCACTTACCATTTAACACTTGGAGGCTCAGCAAACCTATGGAAGACAACATACAAATGACATACAACATACACATTGAATTGCATAAAGCAGCATGATTCAACAAGCTCATCCCTAGCTACCTCTCACCTTTTCTCATTGCCCCTCCCTGAGGGCATTCATTCATATTGTATTATAACCATCCATCTGCCTCCCCTATCACATGTCCATCTTCCGCATTAGACTATGCGTTCATGTAGAGGCATGAGAACATCAGACTCATCTTTTTGGTTCCCACCACCCTCCATGGTCCCGGCACATACTAAGTATTAAAGGATATTCTTGCCGGACAAGATTTCCACCAAAATCCCAGGTCATGGATGGAGTGAGATGCTCACCTAGAATCTCTGATGTTGTCCGTCCAGAAGGAAGTATGGTTGAAGAGGCAAGACCATGGTCAGGTTGGCAAAGTCCAGATTGTTGAGTTTAAGGGGCCATGAGAGATGAGACCACAAGTAGAGAGGAAAAATCACAAGATCAGAAGGCGGGAGATCAGGACCAATGAGAGAAGAACCAAGATGGGTGGTGGTGGGCAGTTAGGACTTATGGCAGGGAACTGGGCCAGGGGAGCTGACCAAAATCTCATTGTGTAGGTCCGAGGGGGATCTAATGGCTTAAAGGGCTTGCACAGAATCAGGGTTATGTTGGGAAGTTAGCCACCACCTCTCCATGTACTCAGTGGCACCATGTTGTAGGCACCTACATACTTCAGATGGATAACACCTACCATTAGAACAGTGTTTTTACAATATATTTTTAAAATTTATTTCAGAGAGGAAAAGAGAGGGATATAGAGAGAGAAATATCAATGATGAGAGAGAATCATTGATCGGCTACCTCCTGCACACCCCACACTAGAGATCGAGTCTGCAACCCGGGCATGTGCCCTGACAGGAATCCAATCATGATCTCCTGGTTCATAGGTTGATGCTCAACCACTGAGCCACACCGCTGGGCCATTAGAAAGTTGTTATGGGATATATAACATAATACATAAAGGTGCCTGACACCTGATAAACTCTTAGTGACTATTCGTTATGGTCATCAGGATCATCAAAATAACATCACCCATATCCCTGACTTGGGGAGGGGATTGGTTCTCCTAAGACAACCCACCTCTTTGAAGGGGATGGTAATGCATTATTTTCCAGTCCCTGGGCTAAAATAAGTTCTCTGAGAGAAGATCCATGGCTAGCAATGGACCCTTGAGCAGACCTAAGAAAGTGAACATCGGCCTGGCTGGCATGGTTCAGTGGTTGAGCATCAACCTACGAACCAGGAGGTCCCGGTTTGATTCCCAAGTCAGGGCACATGTCTGGGTTGCTGGCTCAATCCCCAGTGTGGGGCATGAGGGAGGCAGCCAATCAATGACTCATTAATGTTTCTATCTCTCCCTCTCCCTTCCTCTCTGAAATCAATAAAAAATATGTTTAAAAATATTAAAAATTAAAAAGAAAGTGAACACGGCAAAAGAGGGAGGGGCAGGGACATAGAACAAGAGTCTTACGTTTCAATACTGTTGAGATGTGAGCACCAAGGAGGAGAAAATCCAGTAGGAGTTGTTGGCACCGACAGAAACAAGGGCAAGAGAACGAGAAAGGTGTTAATGAGTCCTTCCTAGCCCATCCCACCCCGTTGGTTCTCAAAAGAGACCCGAGCATAGGAGGGAAGTGAGAGCATTGCCCGGATTTCATGGGATGGGCTGGGGGTCCATCGTGAGTGACTTTAGATGTTTCTACTATACTTGTCCCCTTGGGAGACACATTTACCCAGATGGCCAGAATCCCCAGGGACTCAGAGTTCTTGGGGATTCATCCCCCAGAGATTAGGACGATTATCAGAAGATTCCCCTTGACCCATTTTTATCTCATTTCTCTCCTTTGGGGTCAAGAGGGGAGAAGAGCTTGAGGGAAGAGTTGCACCTCTTGGGTCTCCTTATGCAGTAGCCCTCTCAACAAATATGTGCAATTCAACACGTCTCTGTATTCTAGGGCAGTGGCCTTCGGCTTCTGAGAATCCAGTCAAGTCTGGGAATCATATATATGCTCACCTACCCCATCATGCCTACTGCCACAGAGCCTCGTGCATCCCCCACATACTCTCACGACTTTCAGTGCAATCTTGGGGGGGCATGTGGACCCCCACAGCTCATCCTGTGCCTCCTTTGGAAATTGGGACAGAAGGAGACCTCCCTTCGCAGAGGGTCTCTCTTGCAATGTGGCTATTCCATGGAGAAGAACCCAAATAGTCCCTTCTCTCTCTTGCTTTATTTTCTTCCCAGCATCCAAGGTACCCAAGAAATAACTTACCTTTCACTGAAGGGTGCAGCAGAACCAGAAGTTAGAGAGTCCATGTGGAAAAGAGTGAGCGAGAAAGTAAGATCAAAATGAACACTCCTCCCCCCGCCCCTGCTGTCTATTCCATTATTCCTTCACTAAATAGTCCTAAAATTATTAAGTTTTTATTGTGGACCAATTATAGACTCACAAGATATTGCAAAAATAGCACAGAGGGGTCCTGTGTACCCATTGTCCAGCTTCCCCCCAACCCTCATGGTGACGTCTTACATAACCATAGTACTTTATCAAAGCCAGTAAATTAACCTAGCTGGTTTGGATCAGTGGGTAGAGCGTCGGTCTGTGAACTGTAAGGTCCCAGGTTCAATTCTGGTCAAGGGTACATGCCAGGGTAGTGGGCTCGACCCCCAGTGGGGGACTTGCAGGAGGCAGTATTGTCCAGCTTCCCCCCAACCCCCATGGTGACGTCTTACATGACCATAGTACTTTATCAAAGCCAGTAAATTGACCTAGCCGGTTTGGATCTGTGGGTAGAGCGTCGGTCTGTGAACTGAAAGGTCCCAGGTTCAATTCTAGTCAAGGGCACATGCCTGGGTGGTGGGCTCAATCCCCAGTGGGGGACTTGCAGGAGGCAGCTGATCCTTGATTCTCTCTCATCATGGATGTTTCTATCTCTCTCTCCCTCTTCCTTTCTCTCTGAAATCAATAAAAATATATTTAAAAAACACACAAATATATATATATTTTTAAAAGCCTAATACCATTCACTGGTCTATAGATCTTACTTACTCAAATTTCACATTTTTTTCCCATGTACTCTTTTTTTGTACTGTATTAAATATTTATCTCATGCCCTAACTGGTTTGGCTCAGTGGATAGAGCATCAGCCTGCAGACTGAAAGGTCCCAGGTTCAATTCCGGTCAAGGGCATGTACCTTGGTTGTGGGCACATCCCCAGTAGGAGGTGTGCAGGAGGCAGCTGATCGATGTTTCTCTCTCATTGATGTTTCTAACTCTCTATCCCTCTCCCTTCCTCTCTGTAAAAAATCAATAAAATATAAAAATTTTTTAAAAAAATATTTATCTCACAGTCATAGGGAGGCTATCTTAAAATAATAAGGACATCCTTATCTTGCTTTATAAATGAAAGAAGGGAGATTTACACAGTCACTGGAGGTGTTTCATTGAGAAGATCCAATTAATGACCCAAAACAGGTGGGTACCATTGAATCACCACCTCTCCATCTCGAAGGGTGAGTGCAGGACTTGAGATAGAAGATTGGATATTAACCTTATTTGCCCATCCCACCCCCATGCTGGAACTGACTCACACACAAAAAAATGGTTAAGTGTTTACAAATTTTTCAATCCAGTTGTGAAACCATTACTAGCTGGAAATAAGCCAGAGTTAAAGTATTGACATCACAGAAATTGGCAATCACTCCAAATCAGGGCTCCTTTCTCAACCCATCCCCCACAGCTCCATTCTTGGATGGAGTCTGTTTGCACTCATTTTGCCCTTGACCCAAGGCCATGTCTAAATGCAAGGGGCCTGGCTGGGTAGCTCAGTTGGTTAGAGCGTCATCCTGATACAGCCAGGTTGTGTGTTCAGTCCTCAGTTATGGCACATACAAAAATAGACCTCTGAGCCCGGCTGGCATGGCTCAGTGGTTGAGCATCGACCTATGAACCCAGGAGGTCGAGACTCAGTTCCAGATTGGGGCACATGCCCGGGTTGCGGGCTCAATCTCCAGCATGGGGCATGCAGGAGGTGGCCGATTGGTAGTTCTCTCTCATCATTGATATTTCTGTCTCCCTCTCCCTCTACCTTCCTCTCTGAAATCAATAAACATATATTTGAAAAAAAAGACCAATGAATGCATAAATAAGTGGAACAAATTCTCTCTCCCTCCTTCCCTTCCTCCCTCCCTCCCTCCCTCCCTCCCTTTCTTTAAAATCAATCAATCAATAAAAATGATTTTAAAAAATTGCTAGGGCCCTTCCCTCAACATTTTAAAGTAGTTTCCAGGCCCCAGAGGGAGTTCCAAGAAGGTAATTTCAAGGACATAAACGTGGGACTGTCCCAATACTTACTTTCTTCTTCTGTCCTATCTGGAGGCGAGAAGAGATTCAGTTCCAGATTGGGGCACATGCCCGGGTTGTGGGCTCAATCTCCAGCATGGGGCATGCAGGAAGTGGCCGATTGGTAGTTCTCTTTCATCATTGATATTTCTGTCTCCCTCTCCCTCTACCTTCCTCTCTGAAATCAATAAACATATATTTGAAAAAAAAGACCAATGAATGCATAAATAAGTGGAACAAATTCTCTCTCCCTCCTTCCCTTCCTCCCTCCCTCCCTCCCTCCCTCCCTTTCTTTAAAATCAATCAATCAATAAAAATGATTTTAAAAAATTGCTAGGGCCCTTCCCTCAACATTTTAAAGTAGTTTCCAGGCCCCAGAGGGAGTTCCAAGAAGGTAATTTCAAGGACATAAACGTGGGACTGTCCCAATACTTACTTTCTTCTTCTGTCCTATCTGGAGGCGAGAATGCAGGCAGCCAGGTTCCAGTGGGGGTGCAGAGTTCTAACTCTTCCCTCTCCCTTCCTCTCTGTAAAAAATCAATAAAATATATTTAAAAAATAAAATCAATCAATAAAAATGATTTTAAAAATTGCCAGGGCCCTTCCCCAAAATTTTAA